AGTTGGAACTTCAGAGGCTGCTCGCCCCTGATTTTACAAATGATCAATGATGCAGCTGAGAAATTTGAAAAAGCTATCAGAAGGTGGCTTTTCACTTGATTGGTAAAGCCTTAGTCAGGGATCTCTGCATCCCCCAAATCGGTCATGGATGTGGCAATTTGGAAAGTGTCAGAGCCTTTCTTTAGACGTATGTTCGGTCTTAGGAGTGTGTGTGATGCAACGTGCAATCAATTGCCAGTGAAAATGTGCATTCCCACACCAAGTGCACTTTTTAAAAAAATTTCACTTTAATAGATCTTTGTTGGAGTGGAATGTCTAAAATTCTTGGGTTTTGATTGCCAGGTATTGTGGGCAACTTCAAGATGATTTTCAGGGGCGGGGGGGGGGGAATTTGACCTCTTTGCCCTGGAAATCCCTGAAGAGAAAAGCCCTCAGAGGCGTACCTTGAGTGCCTCTGTGCTAACCCTGAGATGTCCACCAGTGTTTTCATGCTTTCCATTAGTGCTAGCTGTTGCTTATATATATCTCTGAGCCCCAATCAGGGTATTTTTGATATTTCGTATTTCCCTAATGGCCAAGAAGTATACTCCACACTGATTAATTCCTGCATGATGAAAACATCCTATGCAATTCATTTATTGTTGTGGCAGTTAATTGAATATTTGATGCTTTAGAGGTACCTTGATTCTTTTTCTAAAGACATGTATTTGTCACGAGGCAGATGATCTGGGCGTGATCTCTCGGTGACTACATGGGGTGGTAGCCTGTACTGTCACATGTAGAGGAGGTGGCACTCGGGAGGGCTTGCCATCCACTCACCACCTGCCTGACTTGCGCCTCCTCCTTCCCTGGCCCTCCAAGAGGACCACATCCCTGCCTAGCATAAGCGAGTCCTGGGGGCCAGGCGTGGGAGCCCCAGCTCCCCGCAGCTTGCAGCTTGCTGTCTGCTCCAGGAGGGGGGGCTGCGAGGGGGAGTGCGACAGGACTCCGCTCTCAGTGGCTAACTCGCTTTGTGGACTCTGACTAGTCAGGAGTGGATTGAAAGAGAGGAGAGGGTGGCTCAGGCAGTAAGCAGCCAAGTGACAACTCCACGGGTGGCAGTTCTAATCCCGGTGTCACCCTGCTCGTCTGGTCTGGAGAACACCTGTGGGAGTGAGTGACTGCTCCAGAGTTGTGTGACAAGGAGCCAGCGAAGCAGCCAGAGAGACAGCGACTGGACCAGACTGGGAACCAAGCCTAGGATGAGGTCCGAGCTCCTCCAGTGACACCCGCTCGCTTTGCGGGGGGCCTTGGGGACCTGAGTGGCAAGCATGGCAGACCTGTGGCCTCTTACTCCTCTGTGGGACGAGGAATTCAGCGAGCACCTTGGCGGCGGGGAGCTCCTGCCAGATCTGGGTCTGGGCGAGAACCTGGTAGGTACCTTCCTCTGTCCCCTCCTGGTGCGGACCTCTGAGTGTTTGCTGTGTGAGCTCTGCCTCCCCACTTTGCAGTTTCAAAAGGCAGAGAGTATCTTGTCTTCAGTGTCACGCAGTCTTCCCTCTTAGCCCTGTCCTGAGCACAGTGTGAGCTCAGTCAGGAGTTTTCGTCTGAAGAACTAAATGGGGGCCTGATGGACAGATGAATGAAGCCGATCCAATTACCCTTGTCATGACTACTTTACAGTGTGTGCCCCCGTGGGTCTCTAATTGGTTAGTGGCTCGTCCCCTCTGGACATTTCGCTGGGCAAAGAAGCCACGGCTCAGAGTTATTTGTTTTACCAGGCCCCCCTTCCTGTGCCCAGCACTGTTCTAGGCATGTAGGAGATGCTTGCTGGCTAATTACAGAGCACTTGTGACTCCAATGTAGTTGTCTGGTGGCTAAAAGAACCAGAGGGCAGAGCTGGATGCATTTGAATGACTCCATGAGAATGTTGGATTTCTTTGAAAAGAAAAGAAAAAAATGTCTGTAGTCCGGGTGGCGTATGGCAATTGGAGAGCTTGCCACCGGCCCACCCACCTACCACTGCAAGTGTTTCCCTCTCCCAAGTCAGTGCCCACCACTCTTTCTATCTTAACATCATTGCCCCCCACCCAATAAAAAAATGGGAATTTACAGTTCTTGGTGTAGAAATATTTGCAGTTGGTAGTAGTGAGTCCAAGCTCTACATGAAAAGATGAAAAGACTGAACTTAATAACAGTAAAAACAGGCAGGTGACGGGTCATAACCTAGCCCATTGTTTGGGGCTTTTGAAGTTACAGATTCCATTCACATCCGTTCTCTCATCTGATGCTCACCGAAACCTTGTGATTTCTGTGCAGGGCAGGCATTGCTGTTACTATTATGCGACTATTGCTTATTTTGTAGTTGGAAGCGCAGAAGGATGTAATGCTCTGTTAACAGGTGGTTTGCAAGTGGTGGACTGGGATCCTCACCCAGCTCTTTTGATTCATAGACAAATGCTCTCGCTTGTCTCCACAGTGATGATATTTTTCCTATACCATTCCAAACTCCTCTTGACGCCGTACTGTGGGGCAAAGTAACCATGAGGCCTTTCCCCGAGACTGGGCTCACTCAGCCCCCGCCATATAATACGATGGTCATGTCTAAGATGCACGCCTTTGTTACCGTCATTTTCCTCTTTGGGAGAAGGGATTTGTTCAAAGTTAAAACTGTAAAAAGCACTCACTAGAGTATAAAGAAATGGGATGAGATTCAATTTGTAAGTAAGAATAAGCCATGGAGGTCTGTAATCCTGTAAAGTGTTAGACTAGTATCTCCCAGTGTGTGTTCTACGAAGTGTGTGTCCATGAAATATCTATAGTTAATTGAGAGGGGGACAAACCGAAACAATAAAACCCAAGAACTCGATGAGCAAAAAACTTTTCCAAGTGCTCCATTAAACCAAGTAGACAGGGGCCTCTGAGCCTTTCAACTGCCTTCTGGGTCTTTAAGTTGGTCGCCTAATTTCCTAAATGTATTTGGACAGAGAATATTTTCTTTCTCCTGAGAATTCTGTCCACCTGTTGCACAAGTAGTATCTTTGCAGCGCTTACCACAATTGCAGTCCTATTTTATGTACTTCTTCCCCTCATGCCTGCAAACTCCAACAAAAAGAAAGCTCTCTTTCTTTTTGAATCTCTGCCTAACATGATGCCTCCCGACAGCCAGGCCGTCAAAAATATAAGTGAATGAATAAACTGTAGTATGCCAACCAGGTGGTGGTGGTGGTGGTGGTGTTCTGTGCCATTGAGTCGCCTGCAACTCGTAGCAACCCTGTGTACAACAGCTTTGAATCCTGCCCTGGCATGAGCCAGTCTCACTGATTCCAACACACCAACTCCCATTGCCCCAGCCACTGTATCAATATCTTCTCCAGAGCCTTCCTCTCCTGCCGCCATCCCTCCACCCTTCTGAGCATGATGTCCTGCAAGGACCAGTTGCTCCTGACCACATGCCCAAAGTCAGTAAGACAGAGCTTCAAAAATCTAGCTTCCAAGAAGAAACGTGGTTTCACTCTCTCCAAGACAGACCTATTATTTGTTTTCTTGGTAGTCTATTGATATGTTCAAGACTCTTCTCCAGCATCACAACTTGAAGGCATCTATTCTTTGTCTGTCATCCTTAGTCATTGTCCAGCTCTCAGATGCATAGCAGGTAATTGCAAAGACTGTGTCCTGGATGAGGTGCACCTTAGTCTCTAGATTAACGTCATTGCTTGTCAGTGCTCTGGAGAGGTCCCTGACAGCAGATTTTCCCAGTGTGATTCATCTTTTGATTTCCTGACTCCTGGTGCCAAGAGTGCTGCTGCATCATACTTTTTATTCCTGAGGGTTCTTCCAATCCCGTTGCCACATTCCTCCTCATAGAGTCCAACCTCCCAAATGATCTGTTCTGCATATACATTGAAAAAGTATGGAGACAAGATGCATCCCTGGCACATTTCCTTCCTGGTTTTGAACCTGCAGTGTTTCCTTGCTCTGTTCTGGCGACTGCCTCCTGGTCTGAGGATATAAGAACTGTAGGCATTCGGTTGGACTCCCAAGCTAACGGAGAGCTCTGACTCATCCTAGGAATAAACCTCATATTTTACCATCATCATTATAAAATATATATAACAAAATTGCCTTCATTTCGCCATTTTTAAATGTATAATGCTGTGATTCTAAGCACATTCTGTAAGTTACAGTGCCATCACCATTATCTGTTTCTGAAAGTCTTTTGTTGCCCCTCACACGAACTCCCTGCCCCACTAGACCCAGGGAGTAACCACAAATGCATTTCGGTCTCTATGTATTTGTCTATATGGGATATTTATTATAAGTGGCAATGTGCAGTATTTGTTCATTTGTGACTGATTTATTTTGTGGCATAATATTTTCAAACGTCTTCCTTGTTGCAGCATTTATGAGAATGTCATTCCTCTTTATTGCTGATGAATATTGTCTTGTTTATTTGTGTCTATTTCTGTGTATCTCGTAATATTCTGTTTAGTCCATTCACTCCCTATCGACTCACAGACATTTGGATTGTTTGTGCATTTTGTCTATTGTGCACAGTACTGAACCTAATATCAGTGTACATACGTGTGTGTGTGTGTGTGTGTGTGTGTGTGTCCTTGCTTTCAAGTTTCTGGGGCCTCATCTTATTAAACTCCGGGCTGATGAATAATACCCTGAAATATTTCAGATCGTCAAAAGAGCCAAAGTCAAGCTCCCTCTTTGGACACATGAGCAAAGTAAAACTCAGAGAGGGAGGAGGGGATGGCTTAGATCTCACAGAAAATCAGTGACAGATGGGTTCCTTTCTTCTTTCGCCTCATGCTGTGATCTTACTGCTTCATTAAAGTAAAACAAAATCAACCATTTGCACATAATTATTGCTTGTATTTAATAAGAAATAATTGATAGCTAGAGTGGCTATTTGCAACTTTTTTCCCCCTTACAGAGTAAACTAGTATACTGTCAGCCTCTGGGAGAATGACTGGCTCGTGTTTAATTGGTTTGGTTTGGTTTGGTTTCAGGTAAGCCTTCCCAGTGATCCAAGCTGTGTTGAAGATATCTTGCGGGTGAGTTTAAATTTTATTTCTGGGTCTTTTCATAATGAAGCTATCTGTCGGCTTGAGTCATTTAAAGAAATTGCTGTTCTATTTCAAGGGAGATCATGATGGGGAATCCTCAGATCTCACTTTGAGATCCAGCCTGCTTTTCCCTCTGTCTCTTCTTCTAACCAAGCTGCTCTTCTCATCTCCTCTCACTAAGCTCCCCTTTCGTCCTTCTTCAACACAGAACTTACATTTCCTTTAGGAAAGTGATACCATGAATCTTGGCCACCTTGTTTTCTTGGATCTCAACTCAAGTCCACTGCTGACTCCAGAATTCCTTATAGGACGTGGCTAAGTAGCTCTGGTGGCCTAGTAGTAAGACCCTGAGCTGCAGTCCCGAAGGCATGCGGTTCCCATCTACCAGCTGCCCCACAGATGAAGGATGGACAATCTCCTCTCATGCTATTAGTACCTCTAATAACCTGCTGTTGGTTCCAGCTTGACAGCACACAACAACAACAACAACATGGAGGCTGTGTCCTATAATTAGATGTAGGAACTGGTACTGATCGGGGTGACTTCATGCATGGGAGTGGGGTGGGATTGGAGACAGTCACTAACTTGAAAAGAGCCACTAGAACCCTTCACAAAAAGAAACAAGTAAACCATAAGGAAACTAAAACAGAAGCTCCTGCCCCCCGAAAAAGAATCTCCGATCGCCGGCTGTGGGGATCATAAGACGACTCTGTCGCTCTGAGCTTCCCTTTCTCGTCCCTGACAGAGGACAGTGAGAGCAGGCCTAATTCCCTGTTAAGCTGCCAGGTCATGCAGAAACGTTGTTTATGATGAGCAGTAATCAGCGTGGCCCTGAGAGGACCATGCTGACTTTGGCTGTGGGCAAGAAAGCGTCCATGTGTCAGCGGCGATACAGCAGCTCTTTGCCCCCTTTCCACACGCACCCTTGTTCCCCCTACACCTCCCCCGCTAAGTGCCTTCTAAGTCCATTTCTGATAAGTCAAAAAACAAACAAACAAAAAAAAAAAACAAAACAAAAACCCAAACAGGAAGGGTCCGGTGTGAAAAACAATGTATATGAACTTCATAAACATTGTATGTAAACCAGTATAAAAAGAAAATAAATTTTTAAAAACCCCAAGCAACTCATAACGATCCCAAAAGTGTCAGTGTAGAATAATGGAATTTTCAATGGCTGTCCCCTGTGAGTCATCAGCTCTTCCAGCTCCTCCGTGGAGATTCTAACCCACTCTTTCCGTTTGCAGCTCAGAGCTTAACCATTTCTGCGATTATTGCTATTGTGTGCTTGAGTCGGAAGTGACCCATAGCTGATCCTCCCGCAGATTTTCACAGGTAGTCACCACATAGGAGCACCTGGTGGATTCAAACTGTGTACCTTTCGGAATGCAGCGCAGATTCTTAGCACCAGGCTGCCAGAGCTCCCTTAGATGTCAGTCTAGTGACATCAAATAGTTCCTTAAAAATTAATAAACTCAGGGAGCTCTGTGGCAAGAAGCTGCACTGCAATCCTGAAAGCTAGCAGTTCAAATGCCCCAGATGCTCTGCTGGAGAAAGAGGGGCAATCTCCTCCTGTACCAGTTGGATCTGACTCAACAGTGCACAACAATTAAAAAAAGAAAGAAAGAAAGAGAGAGAGAGAGA